AATTATCAACATAAACCACCCTAGCACTTAACATAAATCTTGCATTACCCTACCTTTATTTTATCTATTTACATTAATCTTAAACCTTACCCTAACCATGCTGGAACTCTAAAACCTAGCACTATTGTGGACAGACCTCAGACCTATCACTTACCCTAGACCTATCACTTACCCTAGACCTATCACTAAACATGACCTTAAAACTATCCCTAACAATAATGCGAAAACTAATCCTAAACCTTAGATTATTGTGCTCACCCCTAATCCTATGTGTAAAACAAATCCTAGCAGCAACACTAATCCTAACTTTAACCCTAATCCTGTTCAATCACCAAAAATAAATCATTTCTCACCATTTCAAAATCCTACATGGAAACATAAAACTAACCTTAATATAACTCTACATCTAAAGAGACCTTAAGAGTGAGACTTAACAGAAACACCAACCAAAAACCCTAAATCCAGGGTAACTCTAGCTCTACATCAAGCACTAGAACTAGCCATAGTTTACGCTAATGATAAGTGTAACTCTAATCCCAATCCTAATACTAACAATAACCCTCTGGGAAACCTAACATTAGCTCTATTATAATACCTGATTGGCGGCTCAGTCCTAAATGCAAAATGTAATTAAATCCTTAGTGCAAACATGTGAGACTAATAAAATTAACCCTAAACCTAGTCTTTGAACTAGATTTAGCCCTAATCCTAGCCCTAACACTAAACTTAAGCCTAACCCTAATAATAATTCTAAATCAAATGCCAACTCAATGCCAACTCCAACCCATAAACATAACCATAACTATAACCAAAACCATAACCTTAAGCCAAACTAATTAAACCCTAGCCCTAGAACTAGACATAGTACAAGCTTTAGGCCTACATCTAACAATAAGTAATCCCTAACTCAACCATAGTGGAACCCTAGCCATAAACATAACTATGAACTTAATCCTAATTCTAAATCTGACACTGAGCAGAAGCCAAACATAGGCCTAGCCCTAGCACAAACCCTTGGAAAACCCTATCAATTTTCTTAACAATAATCCTAGTAAAGCCCTGACGATAGCCATAGCTCAAAACCTAAAATTAGCCTTTGGCCTACTAATCTCACTAAGAAACATTACTCTGGTGGACTTCTAACACTAACCCTATATTAGCATTTAACACTAACCTTGGTAGAACCATAGAATTATGGCCACCTGAGGCTTAACTACAACCTAACACTAACTATAAACGAACCTTTAAAAGTAGACATATCCTTTTTTTTGTCTTTTTTATTTAATCTGTAACATCTCTAAGCCTATCCCTAATGTCTTGCTAGAATGCCAACTCCAAACTTAACTCTTAACCTGTTGTAAACCTAACAAACCTGACATTGACTCTAATGCTAAAATTAACCCTAATGTAAACTCTGGAGAAGCTATGGTCCTAATTGTAGTCCTAGAACTTAACATAGTGCTAGATCTTGCTGCAATCCTTCCCCAAACTAAAAACCCAGTGCAAACCTAAACCTAACACTAATTCTACCTCAAAACAAACCTTAACACTAACTCTCATTGCCTACAAGCCTGAGTCAAAGCCAGTTTTCTCACTCTAGAAATAGTGGTACCCATTGCCCTAACTTTATCCACATCCCTAAAACTAACCCCCATAGTGGAGGAAACTTAAATTTTACATTCTCACTAACTCTAAAACCAACCCTAATGAAACAGTAGCCCTAGTCCTAGCTTTCACCATACCCTAGCCCTACTCTAGCCCTAGCCCTTTAGATGACAGTAACCTAACCCTAATTCCAGTACTTATCATGGCATTACCATAGAGTGACTCTAATCCTAACTTAATGTCACAAGAAACTTATCCCTAGAGGCATCCCAAATCCTAGCAAAGCCATACACTTAAACACAACCCTAGCCCTACACCTAACCCACATCCCTAAAACTAACCCTAAAAGAACCAGAGTGGAATTCACTCACAAATCAAAGAATAGGCCTAGACATAGGAATAGTTGTAATACTACCCCTAATCTAACATTAATCCAGCTGTACATGTAACACTAATCCTAAATATGCTAAAAGACTTGACCTAAACCTAACCATGACCATAACCACTCTAACCCTTAGCGCTACCTGTATCTCAGACCTAACCCTAAAAACAAACACTAATCCTAAGCCTGAACTGAAACCTGGTAGCATCTTAACAAATCAAAATCATAATTCTAAGTTTGGAATCTTAGCCTAAGTCTAATGCCATCCTATACCTAATCATGTTACTAAACATAGAAACTAACCCCTAACAAAACACTACACTTCTTAAAACCACAGACCTAGCCTAACCTCTAGCCCTAGCCCTATATCTCATATTAACCGAAGTCTAATCCTAGAAGAACCTAGCCTTATTTATACAGGATTACGTAGTCTTAAAAATAACCACGGTGGCACTCTAAAACTGACACTAACCAAAACTCTAAAACTGGTAATACACTACACTAGTCATAGCCCTAAACATAGACCTTGTCCTAGAAGTACACAAGGCCTAAACCTATCCTATACTCTGGTAGAACCAAAACCAACACCTATCACTAGCCGGTGATTAACCCTAACACAAACCTAACTCAACCTGAATCTTTAACTTAACCTAAATTCTAACCTTAAATGTAGCCCCAACCCTACATGGAGTTCTAGCTCTAACATGCTCCATAAATCAAACATGACCCTAAACCTGTGCATAACCCTACCACTGACCCTACTCCAAACCATATTTTTAACCTAGGCATAAAAAGCTAAGGCTTAGCTCTACCCTTGTCCCACAATAACTATAACCATAGACCTTAGTCTACACCTAACCTAACTTTGGCCCTAAACTTAAATCCATTCCTGAACTTACCAAAACCATAGCCCTAACCCTAATTTTAACCTGGAATTACTTGAAGCATAGCCACATCCTAAATACAGACATCACCATCACCATAACCCCAACACCAGCCATGACCATAAGCATAACCTTAATCCTAAACATAACTCTCCCTTATAATAACACTAACCCTAAATCTAACACTAACTCTACCATGAAATGTAACCCTAAGCTTCAATGCTAAGCAGTGGGGTCTGCTGCTTCTGCTATTCCTGCTTGCTGCTTCATGCCTTCCTGCCTGCATGCCATGCACCGTTCTCCTCTGTGATGCCCCTCTGCCATTCCACCTTGCCTTGGAGACAGCTGACTGTGGACTGAAAACTCTACCAACTGTGACCTGGTGTAAAACTTTTCTCTCTTAATTTAAGGCTTCTGAGTATTTTGAATAAGCAACAAGGAAAGTAAGAGAAGCGTACAGGTAGATGACTGGGAAGGAGTAGCACATACATTGTGCTGTCCTGACCACTCAGTCTCAGAACTGCTGCCCAAGGCAGAGACATTCACTTGGGTTCAGCCATGATGGGAGCCACAGGCAGATGAAGAATTGTTTAAAAAGAAACATACAATGTAGTGATTCAACTTCCTGTAAGAATCAAACAGGGACAAGGTGAGCCAAGCTAACTCTGACCAACTTCCGTTTCCTCAAACCTCAAGGAAAAGCCTCACTGTCACCTCCCCATCCTACTCCTCAGGGAAAACACAGGACTCTAGGGACCAGGCTCCACAAGAGAGGAACAGAGACTCTGGAAAGGACACTGTTCTTTGGGAGTGAGGATGGGGGTGAACACAGGCGAAGACAGCAGGCAAAAGGGGAAATGCACAAACCTGAAGGTATGCCACCAGTGAGAAGAGCTTCTGAGGCAGTGACACCGGGTGACACAGTGTTGACAGCAGAGACAGTGCAGGAGAAACATGGGCTTTGTGAGCCTGCACAGAAGAAAGCAGGTTAAAGTGGCATAAGGGAAAGAAGAGGCCTAAGTGCCATAGTCACAAAGAGGCACAGAAGGTAGGGCAGTGTTCCTGTGCTCAGGTGACAGTCACACATGCTGGGGGACACTGGGAGTGGGGAAGACACTCACCCGTGTTCCAGGCACCAGGGTAACATTTCAGTGGTCCAAAACTGAAAGTAACAATCAGAAAGACATGTATGTTTCTGTACCTGCACTCCCATGACCTTGCTCTTCATGAAGTTTAGCAAAATAACTATTCAGGCTGGGACCTGGGACAGCCACAGCAGGCAGAAGGAAGGTGTGCAGAACTAAAGGGGGCACTGACCCTCCAGAAGGCCGCTCTGTGTTGAACTGACCCTGACACTCAGCTTCGTGTTCAATACCAGACTCCCTAGTAAGGATCACTGGGGTGCAAGGGCCGCAGCTGAGAATCAAGGTTGAGACACTGAGGCCCAGGGGAGGAAGTGATTTTTCTGATGTGGTCAAGTAAGAGAGTGTCAAACAGGAAACACAACATCTTCTCCTAATCCTGGTAGCTGGGTCTCCTCTCACATACCTTGAGGGGCTTTCAGAGAGGCATAGATGACTGGCTGTTTTCACTGGCCTGAATTCCCTGCCTCAGTAGCCAGAATAGCAACAACCATTTACAGAATGTTTCCACTAGGTCCTAGGGAACTGACACAAACGCATCATTTGAGTTTCACAAGTGTACATACATTTATTCTCTATGTGTCACTCTGTATCTCTCTCTCCCTTTCTCCCCCCAACCCCCTCTTCATCTTGTCTCTTCTCTTTTCTCGTCTTTTCTTCTCAAATCTCTCTTTTTCTCTCACTCTTCTCTCTCTTTCTCTCTCTCTCCCTCTCTGTCTGTCTGTCTGTCTCTCTCACTCCTTCTACCCCTCCCTCTTATATTTTGTTTTTTATTTTGTTCTAGAGATCATACTGAGTGTTAAACACAACCTTGTCAAGCCCCCCACCACAGAGTTACAACACCTATAGCTCCCTAATGCAGAATTCTTAACCAGTAACTGACACTTTACTCATCTGAACCCTGATCCTCGGCTGCCATCTGATTCCTCATCCCCAGCAGTCTGGCCACCCAAGACTCACTCACTTTCTCAGATGAATGACCCTCACCTTGTGTCTGTCCCAGGCTGATTGATATTTTTAATCTTTTTCTTCTTTTCCACTACTGCCACATCATCAAGGCTGTTCTTTTCTTGAATCTGTAGAAAGGAAAAGCAGTGATGCTCATGAAAATGAAAATACCCTGTATTCACATCCTCCTGCAGAGTTTTTACAGAACACTGGTGTGCATGTCATCTGCTGCAGTGCCACCCACAACTGGACAAGGTGCTACAATGTTAATGAATGAGAACATGAACTGTTAAAGTGGCTTAAACACAGGGGAAAAAACACAGGCAGCTAGCCCCTTGCTGTTTGTCTTTGAATCCTACATCCTGGGGAGGCTGGACAAAAGGATCATAATATTCACAGCATTTTGGAAAAACTAAAACGCTCTCACTAAAAAATGAATAGAAAGAAAATTTTCTAAACAGCTGAAGATTTACATGAGTGTTACTTGGACTTCATCCTTAGTAGTAAAATCAATTGATCGATCATTCAATAAAAGGCAATGAATAGGCAGAAGTGAAGCTCAGTGATGGAGCACTTTCCAGCATGTCCATGGCCCTGGACTTACCCAAGGCCTTGGACTGTAAACGTCAGTACACACACACACACAAACACACACACACACACACACACACACACACACACACACGACACACCCAGGAGAAGCAACAGTGGAAGGTAAACTCAATCTTTTAACTTGCAGCTCTGAGGTTTGCCATGAATCAGCCAATCCCAGGGGCAAAACCAGAAGCAGAGGTGGAAATGTAAACACTAAATAGGCGGTGACTGTACATTGGGTAGTTCAGAACCAAACATCTGGGAACCGTCTTACCCATGTGCTAGAGTAACACTGGTACTTCTCAAAATTCTACTAAAGACCCTAATGGCAGAAGCCTTGAAGACACAGCTGTAGGGAATCTGAGAACTAAAAAAACCCAAGGTAAACATTATTTTGAAGGAAAGTGATTATTGTCAGACACATTTATGGAAATATCACCATTAAGTACATTAATAGGCCTCAATTCTCTCAAGAGAATCAAGCAGAACAGACATTTCAGAAAGTAGCTGGGCATGGGGTTGCATGCCATTGGGAGACTGAGGCAGGAGGCCTGTGAATGCAGGTCAACCTAGGCTACAAAGCAAGACTCTACCTGGAAAAAAATTTCAAGGACTCATATTAATCCTTTTCTACTCAGCTTTCTAGCTGGAATTGATGTGGGAAGACCTATGTTGTGAAGCTGAATTTCCTGTAATCTGTTCCACACTGGACATGTAGATCTCACTCGAAGGAACTGTAGGAAAGGGCACTCTGATTCCAGAGTCAGAGGGAATTCATACGTGAAGTGGAGAACTGAGAAAATTCTGAAGTGTATCCGGAGACTAGAAACCTGGCAAAAACAACACAAACCTGGTCTCCTATGATCGCATACACTGGGCTCCCCAGTGAAGTTATCACATTGTCAGTGCCTGAGTTCAGGAGTAATGGTGCCTGGTACCTCTCTCTGCTCCTTCCCATGATCCCAACCTCATGTCCATGTGGAAATTCGTGCCTCTGTCAGAGAAACTGTGAGAAAGTAAAGACACATTAGGGGACCATGTGTGAAGATCAAAGGCCAGGTGAGGGCTACTGTCCAGGGGGACTGGGACTAGCCACATCCTACTCCTCCCTCCCTGGCCCCAGAAACTGTCTGTGCCCTGCTTCCTCTCCATTGCAGCAAGGGCAGGGACAAAGGCTTTTGGACAATGGGGGTAAGGGAGGTCCAGTGTGGGTTACAGGAGTAGAACACCAAGCCCAGACATGAGGCGCAAAGTTACAGCCAGTCAGTCAGGTAAGGGAGGGTGGGCCAGGGCACCAGAGCTGGGTGGCCATGAGAGGACTTGATGGGGTACTGGGGCGCTGCAGTCTCCCCATTCTCCTTAGGGATGGCCCAGACGTTGACCATAGCATGGTTGTTAGGAACTCAGTCTGGGCTTAGGGGCAGTGACCCCTTGAAGTTTACCTTTTTCTTTGTCACAGCTGATTTCTGCCTTACAGTTTGTTCTGAAATCCCTAGGCAGGGAGGTGACAAATGGTGAGAACACATCAACTCAGTATGGTCCACCGCAGAGAAATTATTCCCAAGAGCCGTTGCTCAGCCCCTCTGCCTGCTCACAGATCCTAAATAACTGCCACACAGGGAGGCGTGGCCTCAATTCTCTAAGCCCATTGGCAGAGCGTGACGATGATGTCATAAGGGCACCCTGAGTTTTCCTCCTGGGCGGGGCTTTCTATGGAGTGACCTCAAAACTGCCTCACTGCTAGCAGTGTACAGGACTGTGTGGCCAGCTGTTTACTGTTAATAAACATTGCACAGTCTCGCTACAAATCTGTACACTGATTTCCTCTCCTTCAATAAGCCAAAACTACATCTGGCCGAGAACCTGCCTGTGGTTAGCTGGTTTACACTGCTGGGCACTGTGCCAAATGCTTAAATTCATCATTATTGTTTTGTTTCTTTGTTGTCAACCTGAAGATTGAACTCTTTGCTTTGCCCATAGCCCTCCTTTTGAGACAGGTTCTCCCACAAGTATCCAGGAGATTTGAGAGACTCCTGCCTCAGCCTCCCAAAATACTAAAATTACAGATAAGCTCTGTGCTACCTGGGCCTACAACACCTTAAAGCAGTCAAGAATGAGTTATTATTATTCTACTCGTGTTGCAGACAAGCAAATTGAGGCTGAGAAGCCAAGTGACTGTTCAACTTCAAAAGGACAGAGGGCAGAGCAGGGATCTTAAAGCAGAAATCCTGACCTAAACACACAGACATTTTGTTCCATAAAGTTGCAGCCATTCTATTGTCTGCCACTGAGTTCAGCTAAATCACAGGATTTGGCACTGAATTGAAACTTCTGTTAATGTTCTAAAGACAACTTTGCTACATACTACTGTGGCACCCCACAAGATTCCCACTGTACCGTAGCCTTCAGCTACAGCTTACCTACTTTTTTGCAACTTCTGTTATGTTATAAAAGAGACAAACTCTGTAATCAGTAACTCAGACTCTGGGGACCAATGGCTTTAATAAAATTTCCTTTCTTCTCCTAAGCTCCTGGCTACTGTGGACTCGATTTTCCCACAGCAGCCTGAGACCAGGTCTGTGCATTCTGGCTTGGGGAGAAGCAGGTCAGAGCTGGTAGGAAGGAGGACAGCACTGCTAAATTCTCATTTGGCATCTCGTGTTAATACTGGCTTTTTTATTTTATTTTGAAAGTATACAACACAACAAGTCAGAATAAAGCCCACTAAGATTGTACTGTGAAATTGGTACAGAACTTCACAGCAGGTTACTGGGATAACAGTAATAGGTATCACAGTATATTTTGTTATCTTTATAATAGTTGTTCTTTCAATCACATATATCAAAATGAGATGAAATATAGAACACTATAGAATTTATCAAAACAGAATATTGAATAGATCAGTACCATTAACCAGAAAAGAGGAAAACAGTAATAAAAATATTTGCCTTCAAAGAAATGGTAGAAGGAAGTCCCCCTTATTTGCTATGGTCAACCTCCCAGGAGATCCTCAGATTTCTGGTTCCCATTTGCTAATGGGCGGGGGAGAGGGAGGATAGGGGAAGTGGGATATTTGACTCTAGGCCACGTAGCAGTAGATTCACTATTGCTTAGCAGGGAAAGAGGATGGTCATTTGGTTTCATAGCGTCCTGAGTTCCAACATGGTGTGGATCTCAGGAGCTGCTGCTGGTTCTACCCTGGAAGGGCAGCAGTCTGCCAGACCACCACTGCTTACCAGGGAGGGGAGGTGCTTGCTTGGCTTCCCAGTGTCCTAAGTTTCAACATGGCGTGGATCTCAGGAGACACTGCTGGTTCTCCCCCTGGAAGAACCACAGTCTGCCAGACTGCCACCGCTTACCAGGGAGGGGAGGTGCTTTCTTGGCTTCCCAGAGTCCTAAGTTCCAACATGGCGTGGATCTCAGGAGCTGCTGCTGGTTCTCCCCCTGGAAGGGCTTCAGTCTGCCACACTGCCACTGCTTACCAGAATACTGGCTTTTTGAAAGGACTTGCAGTTATCTGTATTCTAAACTTCGCCCATCTGGATCACACACAAGGTGCTTGGTGAGCACAGGCAGTCCTTGAATGTCTGCAAGCCACTAAAGGTAATCAAATGTAGACCAGAGTCAGCTCAGCTCACATCCTCTCTCTCTCTCTCTCTCTCTCTCTCTCTCTCTCTCTCTCTCTCTCTCTCTCTCTCTCTCTGTGTGTGTGTGTGTGTGTGTCTCTGCATGTTTGTGAGTTTCTGTGTGTGTGTAGGTTTCTTTGTATGTATGCATTTTCATCTGTGTGTTTGGGAGTGCTTTTAACTAAGCTTATGTGCTTGCATGAGTGTGACAGGATGTGTTTCAGTCCTTGTGTCTGTGTGTGCATGTGACTGTTTTTGCCTGTGAAGAATTTTGGGCTTGACTGTGCATAGGAACATCTCCATCTCAGGTCCATGGCACTAAGGAACTTCCAAAGGCCTTCCTGAGATTTTCTCTGAACCCTGTGACATTGCACGTTGGCACCAATGGGTCAGGTCTTGCCACAGCCCTGCCACAGATCACCAGAGCCACCACATCCACTTGCTTTAGTCTCTGTCAATGAAACTGGCACAAGCACCTCGTCCAATCCTGGAGTGCCAACTTCACAGGCCAGTCTCCTGAGGATTGTCTCATCCTTGAAGAAGAGAGGGAAAGCCTGAGTGAAAGGCTCGAGGGCTTTCACACTCTGAAGCAGCTCCAGCCCTTTTGCTTAGGGTGGTTGGGAAAGCCACACTGCTCCCTAGGCACAAGCCTCAAAGCACAGTCTTGCCCTGTGTGTGTGTCCAAGCAGTTGGGAACACCTACTGGGAGCTTTGTGGAGGCAGCCTAACATGTGTTTAAGCCTTGGAAAATCCTAGGATCGAAAGAAGTGCTGACTAGGAGACTTGTGATTTTCTTTCCCTGGCCAGGGCTCTAGCCAAGGCTGATTTCATCTGCAGTACCCCTTGCCTTGTGAGTCCCTGTGCCCTCATCCCTGGCAAGCCCAGGATGGTCCAGTGGCCAGGCCTCTGGCAGTCTTTAATGAAACTGTTGTTCTTGCACTCATGCCCCAGTGAAGGGAAGGCTTTTGAGAAGCAGTCACTGCAGAGGATCCAGGCAGATCTCTCCTGAGAGCCTTCAACAGATGCTCCCAGGTCAGGCTCTCCCATAGGTTGTTCTGTCGCTGGTACCATCCTCTCCCAGTTGGCATATCATCTGATCCCGCATGTCAACCCTCTGTCAGTTTGTTGTGCACACACAGATGTATGGGCTAGCCAAACGATCATTTTTTTTATATTTTTTTATTTCATTTAAAGACAGACTAAACAAAGCAGAAAATAGGTAGAAATAATACATATGTTCAGAGAAAAAATAGTAAGAAATCACTAGTTGATGTTTAGATATTGTCATTTTACAAATGGTTGTTCAAGGTACAAAAATGGAACATGTAAAGTGGGAATTTAAATAGTGACACTTCAAATAGTTCTGTTCAACTGTGCAACAAAAACTTAGTAACATGGTTGTCACTCCTATACACTTAAATATACATGCAGTTATCCATATCTTCATTTATGTTTAGATTGAACAAACTAAAGCAGGTTAAAATCATCAAGTATAATAGTATTGCTGGATTTCACATCATGACACTCTGTGATCAGCACTGGGTACTATAGTCTTTTTTTAATTTAATTTAAAGAAAGACTAAACAAAACAGAAAATGGGTAGAAATAATACATAATTTCAAAGAAAAAAATCAAACAGTAAGAAATCACTATTTGATGATTACAGATTGTCTTCTTACAAATAGTTATTCAAGATACTAAAGTAGAGCATATAAAGTGGGGATTCAAACAGTGAGATTGCAACCAGTTCTGTTCAACTATCCAACAAAAACTTAGAAATATGGTTATCTTCTGGAAAAAAGTAATAAGAACTGTGGGAATAATAAAACCCAGAATGTAGAATTGTTATTGTAAAAAAAGAGAGGAAAAGAAAGTGCTCTACAGGACACAACTGTAAATGTGTTTAGGCATGTAAGATAGATGACTGCATTACTAAGTTTTTGTTGGATCATTGAACATCATTGTTTGCAGTCTCACTGTTTGAATGCCCACTTTGTATGCTTAATTTTAAGCTATTCAATAGTTTATGCTTAAACTTGCACAACTATTCAAGTTTTATTCTTAAACTTGAACAACTATTTCTAAGATGACAACATGTAATCTATTAACTGGTGATTTCTTACTGTTTATTTTTTTGAAATTCTGTATTACTTGTACCCTTGTTTTGGTTTTTTTTTCTTTAAAAAAAGAAATAGGGTTATCAAACTATACACTTAAACATACTTAAAAAAAGAAATAGGGTTATCAAACTATACACTTAAACATACATGCAGGTATCCATATCTTCAATTATGTTGAGATTGAATAAACCCAAGCAGGCTAATATCACTCTGAACAAAGAATACTATTGCTGGGTTTCACATTATGACACTCCAGGATCAGGACTGGGTATTTTAGTGTCTCTTTTTTTTCAAAGTATCTGTTCATTTCATCATGTGTCATAAGATTAGTTCTCATAAACTGTTTATATTCTACACATGCATGAGTCTTAACATGTACTTCTATCCTTTCTATATTAGAGGGAGAAACAAAACAAAACATATTCCTATAAACACATGAAATGCAATAAACATATAAGACCATTGCACAAAGAGTTCTACTGCTGTTCCTGTGTTGTCTCTTGTTACCTCCAATAGAATTGGCTATATCATCAGACATAGTATAATTGAATATATCAGTACATAACAGTATTAATAAAAATACAACTTTGTATATAGTATAGAACTTCAAAAACCGGCAGTTATCAAATCAGAGTGTGTATCATCGAGTCTTGTCATCTTTAGTATAGTTGCCTATACTCTCAGACTTGATACTATCAATCATATCAGTTTTGAATAAAATCTTCTCTGCCTCATTTCTGTTATGCTCTTCTTTTGCCATCAGTTGTCTGCTTATCTTCTTCATTCTGTTTTCTGCCCCATTCATTGAGGCTTCTCTGCCACTGTTCCTGGAATCCTAGTACTTTTCTCTCTCTC